GCAGCATCCCGCGCAGGAGCGGCACCTCGACGGCAGATGAGCAGCAGCAGCCGCCCAGCGGCGTGGTGGGGGCGTCGCCCCCTCCCCCTAAGCCCCCAGAAGACCACCAGGCTGTTAGGAGGAACTTTCAGATCCCCAAGAAGAGCAGAGAAAAGAAAGGTTGTTCCTTCCCTTCTCCTCCCTTTTCTCCCTCGCTGGCCTCTCAGTCGGATTCGTTAGGCAGCGCTCAGGCACCTCCCACGGCTGCATGCGAACCCTGCGGGTGCAGAGGCTGTGCTGGCTCGCACTCGTGAGGCTGTTGGGGAGACGACTAAAGTGTCAGGCTTTTACTTTCTTTCCCTGTCCCTCCCTCTTTTTTTCTCGCTTGTATTTTGTCACAAGGAGGAAGAAAAAAAACCCCAAACCCGAAACGAAACCACAACTCAGCTTGAATTTCAGAACGTTGCTTTAAAGGAAGCTGGATGCAATCAGGGTGGGATTGAGCTGCTCCCGGCGGTCACGTGCCGAGAAGATGGTTCTCTGGGACACGGTCATCAGAGAAGATGGTTGGCTTTTCTCTTCCCTCTGATCTCCTCTCTGCAGGAGAGGGATGTAATCCTGTTGAGGTTAGACGAGCAGACACTGAGCAGAGTTGTACTGCACTGATGATACACAGAAGACTTCTTATCTGGTTCAAGTTCTTTGCAGGGAGGAAGGGAATATCCCATGTTCACATGCCTCGCCTTGGAAGCATTCTGCTTCTGAGTGCTCAGGGTTTGGTTTGATTTGATTTTGTTTCTGACTAACTCTTCCTCTAAAAGCCTGTGGTATTTCTTGCTTTTCACAAGACTCTACTGGCTTCTGCTTATCTTTGATTTTGCTAAGTGGCATTGAAGACATCTCTTATCTCATCCCTGAAACTTATCTCAGTTCTTGCCTTTTGTAGTATCACAAAAATACTTGTTCTCATAGGCTTCTCATTCTTCAGGGAAGATTCTAACATCTTCTTGAAATGCTTTCTTCTGTAAGGAAGAGATGAAGGTAGGTTTATTTCATTATCCAGTCTTTTCACTCCATTTTTGGCAGTCATGTCCCCTTTTTCCTTCATTTTCTTTCCCATTGCCGCTCCCACTGGGGTGCTACAAGTCTGGCAGAGATTCAGTGTAAAAAGGACTGAGTTGATTTGGAAGGAAAAAGTTTCTTATCGTTCATCTGACAGAAAAACACCTGCATGTGGCATGGTGCCTCATGCACTTCTGTGTATTACACCCAGGCGTGGTGAATACCTTTAAATGCATCTCAGAAACGTTTAGTACTTGACCACTGACATTTGGAGTTCATCTTTGGCGTTTTGTTCTAACGTGAATGAAAACTTGCAAAATACCTTTTTGGGTCATCTAATGCATCATTTGCTTGTGCAGAGCCATCTCTTACAGTGTCCAAAACTTTTAGGGTATGTAGCTCAAACATTAGGCTTCTGTAGCTTCTAGGGCAGAAGGGAAAGCCATTCCTGCCCTGCTTCAGAAATGGCTTGCTAATGTCATGGTCATTTGACCTATTCTTAAGGTCTTTTTAGTGTATTTATTTGTTTTAACTTTTCAGCTTACAGAAAGGTTCTTGGGTATTTGAATCATTCTGATGGCTTAAGGTTTCCAGAGTTCTCTTGTCAGACCTTCTTCATGCAGCCCATGGAGCGTGTGAGCTTGCGGTCGCTGAGTGCTGCTCTCAGGCCGAGCGATACTGCAACGTGCTGTAGGACATGTGTGATAGGCAGCACTGGCAAAAGCGGCTGCCACTGTGGGCTTTGAGACAACCAAGCTGCTGTTGAAATTTGCATTGTCATTTGAGAAATGATGCAGTCAGATCAGTTCTGGAACTGAACTTGAGGCTCAGCAGTGTGTTGATCACCTGACACTGCAGTGGCATGTGCTTACAGCATGCTTAGTGCCAGTGTTCACGTACATCTTGTTACGTTGCAAAATAGTCAGAGTATCTGCCCCTCTCAGAAGAGCTCTCTTGGCTAGATTCTGAAGCCCTGCATGGAACAATACACATGGAAGCTTCCTCAGTCCTTCTTTGTCTTGGAATTGTCCTTGTTTTGCTTTTTAAACCATTTTTTCCTGGAGATACCATCCTGAGAGATATCTCCTGTCTTGATTGTGAAGGCTTAGCTGTCATGTACAAGCTGTGTACAGGATGGCCTTGTCATAGATGGGGTTGTTCTGTGATTTCTTTTTTCTTTTCCGTTTTTAAACACCAGAATGTGTTTCAGGAAAAACTTCTGATTGCGAAGCAATCAAAAATTGAATCTGCAAAGCAAAAACCTAAAGGAAAAATCTTAGAAAACTTAGGATTTAGCTGCTTATTTAGCCTTCTGGAATTTACCTCCACCTCTGGAGACTAAGTACTTACTACAAGTCAACAAAAAGCCTTGTTAGCATTGAGAAACATGTCTGGAGGAAACATTTCTCTAACCCAGCTGTGGTTAGTTGCCACAGAGATTATTTCTTCTCATTTCCTCGTTCTTTTCCTAAGCAGAGGAGTTCAAGAAACAAAACTGGAAGGAAGGTAGTCTGTGAGATGATTTTTTCGAGGTGTGCCTACGTTTGTTTTCCTACTTCGAACTGTCTTGAAAGTTGGTTTTCTTGGTACATACCGTTCAGTAGCAGCATTCTGCTTTCTTGAGTAGCTTTTCTCTTTATCTTTGTGCTCAGCCTGTTGTCGTGGCCTCTTCTAATTCTGTTGTCAGATCTTCAGAGGTTTCCAAGTCTGCTTGAAACTTCAGAAATCCTTAATAGGATTAGGAAAACAAATTTTAAGGATAAAGCACTGGAAGAGCACTTGTAACTTACTGAACATATGAGTGAGCCTCGTACCAAAAGACAATTGCAGAAATGATGCTGGTATAGCAGCAAATGACTTTAAGGGGTTGCTTGTTGATTAAGGCTGGACGTTTATTTCCATAGTCTATCTACCAAGTTCAAAAATGTCTGCAGTTTCTCAGGCTGAGTGCAGGAACAAGGTCTTTTACCTGTGAAGCTCTAAGCAATACTTGCTTGGACGCCCAGGTTGTCCCTTTTCTACTTACTCATTTTGCCTACTCTAAATTTTCTGTATCATCGGTAGAGATGTGTATCTGCTATTTGCTACATGATACTTCTATGGGGGGAATTCAGTCAGTCCTGGAACTTGATAACTATTTAGGCCTCTTGAGAGCAAAAAGACATTTTGGGCTGAAGAAATCATAAAGATAATAATGTCATGGTTCATTTACACCACAGAATTTTGGTCTTCATTAAAAAATGAAGAAAATGGTGCTTCTCAGTGGAGGCTTTAGCAGGAGCACTTGTTTGTGAAGAGTGCTAGCATTCTGCCAGCTTAGCTAATAATAAAATCAGTGATTTACTTATCTTCACTTAAAAGTTGGTTCAGGATTTCTTCAGGAGAATTTCTGTCTTCACATTCTGATTTCAAACAACCAAACCCGCTAACTCCAATCTCAGTTTTCTCGAATTAAAGCATCAGACAACTGTGAAGGAAAAACATCCTTTCAGGCATGACATCATCCAAACACCCAGTCCAGTGTCTGTCCCTTGAGGAGTCCTCATTACCTAAACTCAGTTTTCACCTAAAAATACTTGGCTGTATGTTCTAGTGCTCTGGGCAGAAGCTGAACAAACCCAGTATTTATTTACTTACACCTAGGCAGAGTGCGCCAGCCAACCCCTCAGTAACTGATTGTGTTCTGAGGATGCTGCAGGTTAGTCCTTAATTTAATTCCTGTTTAATTGACTCATACCGGTCAAGGTGCAGCACACCCACATCAGGTTTTTATGTGAGCCTGAGGTACATAGGTACACACTGCAGGTCTTTGAAGTGATGTGGGAATGGAGATAAGCTAGTCATTTCACTGTTAGCCTGTGAGCACAGGCTTTGGTGGCTGCTCTAGAAGGTCTAGTTTAGTACTTCTCCTTTTTCTGTTTTATTTTTGACTTGCTTCTGAACTCCTTGAAGTGAGGCACAAGCTGTGCTCTGGTGACATTAATGTTTCAGAACATCACTGCCCTTGAACACCACTGCTTAGGTGACAAAGTGAAAAGTAGTGTCTTGCTGCTTACCTTATTAGGGAAGTGTTTCAGGTTTTTATTAAGAATCTCTAGTCTGCAATGCCTCAAGTTCTGGTAGAAAAAACTGCAACAATCTTAAGAAAAAACCTCTTATTTTCTGTATTCCATAATTTAAGGAATAGGTAGAGGTCTTCCATAAATCTGTTGAGAGCTAAGTCTATAGCAGTTTGTGTAGGTTCTCCCTGGCAGAAGAACAGAGGCACTTGCTGTTTGGGGGCAAGTCTGTCCCAGCTCGCTTGTCAGAGCTTTCCACCATGCAGGAAATGTTTAAACACAAATGGCAACGTAGTTGACAATATTATATGACAGGATGTAATAATGTGCCTCTTCCTAGATTTGCATCTGGAAATAGACAAGACATAGTGTATGGTTTGTGGTTGCTCTTTTTAGTTGGTCCTGCAGTGTTTTCTGCTTGCTCGGGCTGCAGATGGAAGGCAGAGGCTGGTTTTGTCTGAACATGTGTCCTGGGGGAAAGAAGGAGAAGGGTTGAGGTACCGTAAACACAGTTAAGAAAACAGGAAATTTGCACAAGCAACTGTCACTGCTGATAACCTTCTGCCTTAAGTGGCCCTTTCTGAGGAGCTGGCAGCGTGTGATACTCAGGCACTACAGCATTGGGGTTTAATGACTCCCTGTCAGATCCAAGAGGTGTTGGGGGATGGGGTGAGACAGGAGGTGCTTTTCCAGTGTGTCTATACCTATGGTTGGCTTGTCTTCTCTTTTATTAATAAGTGTTGTTGTCTTCAGTACAAGTGCATTCAACCTGAGTAGTACTAGTTGAAAATTTCTTTCACTTTCCATTCTCTTTCCTCCCATACTGCTGTCAGCCTCACAGGAGTGAAGGCAGTGGTACTGACAAGGACATTATATAAGAATGATTTCTTCATCACTTAAATAACTTCCGTGCTTAAATGATCACTTGGTTGTCGCTGCTGGTGTTGGAACCATTGCTTGACATTGTTTGCAGATGGTGGGATTGCATTCTAAAGTGTGTGTGTAAATGCAGCTTTGACTAGAGAACACAAACCAGTTTTCATTTAGACCATTCTATATTGAGGCTAATGAAGTAAACGTTTCCTGCAGATGAGGAGAAGACTGCTATCTAAATCTACTACTGTATTATTTAATGAAGTTGGAGAACACACTATGAAGATGTAATTAAGTTTAATTTGCTGTTAGAGTAATGGTAGATTGTCTTTTTTTTTTTTGTGAGACTAGTAGGACTTCCTAACCATTGTGAAAATACTGCACTTTTGGTGAGTGTTTTGGAAGTTACCCTGAGCAGAAAACCCACTTTTTTTCTGTAGTAGTTCAGTTCCTCCAGGAATGTTATTTTCCTAGCCACTGCTCTCAAAATCTCTGTTCAGATTCTCTGCTGATCAGTTTGTCAGTTTGGTACCCAAGTACAGATGAGGAAGCTTGGAGAGATGAATCCTTCCCTGTGGGAACTCAGGCAAAGGTTTGCCCAGAAGGTGAATGTGTACAAGAGCTGATGAAGGGCTTTCCTTTTAAAGCAGTTACCATAAGGGATAAGATCATAAAGCATGAACGCAGGCAGTGGTGTTTTTTTTTTTTTTTATAATAGGAACTTATTGACTTATTTAGCTTAGTTGCCGTAAGCAAACAAACACAAAACCCTGTAATGGTGCTACAATGAGGCCAAACTATGAAACTTGTTGAGGTGTTTATTAGAACAATTTGTTCCTGGTTCTTAATTAAAGGAGCTAATTAGTTTAATTAAAGGCCTGAAACTTTAATTACAGTGTTGTGCAATGCATATGAGATGTTTTTCAAAGGGTGAATTGAGACTTGAGGTGCATCTTTATTTATAAACTTCTGACTAGTAGCTAAGAAAGTAGAAATGTGATTTTTTTTTTTTAGGTGTTACAATTCTAGGCAGCTTTAAGATAAACTTTCTAAAGTCCATCTTCTCCAAATATTTTTGGCGTTTCCTATTTTAAATTGAATCATGAACCATGTTGCGCATAAACTGTCAATGAGCTGGAAAATTCTGAGGTTTTTTCAGATGTATATTGGTGCTTATTATTTTGTTTCTTCTCTTTTATAGCACTCTTTCAGCCAGTACCTCTGGGTTCTCGAGAATTTGAGGATATTTTGAAGATTCTGCATTCATCTTACTTGGAACCAAGTTCAGTGTCCAATTTTGATTACAATAGAGCCAGCTTAGTTCATAGTGAACTCTTGGAAAAGGAAGTGAGTATATTTTTGGCTTCTCTTCATGCATAAGGTACCAGGTAAATGACAGTCTCTTTTCTGAATTAGCATCAAAGTCCTGGAGATTATTTTCTGCTTCTTTGCTTGATATTGCAAACTCACATCCCCAGAAATGTAAGCAGCTATTTTTCAGACAAGCTTATTACTGCATAGATACTTAAAAAGAGACTGAAAAGAAAAATAGTCTGTGGCACTACTTGACTCTGTATTTTTTGTTTTCAAAATTTTCTTAATGTGTTTTATTTAAAGAAAAACTGGAAAGATGTTTTAGCATCTTATTTGCAAGGCCTGATACTTCCTCTGAAACGTGAGCTTAAAATATGTCTGATACTAAGCTTCTGTCGTCTCTGTAATTTTGTTGTTTTCCAAGTAGAAGTGCTTTAAAAAGTTGATAACTTCAACTATTAAGTGGAGCAACTTGGCTGAAGCACTGTTGCTGTACCTTACCTGGTATCTCTTAAATCCAGCCTTGGCTTGCTTTCATTGCTCTGAAATAAATGTTCATTCTCAGTTCCAAAAAGCTTAACCTGTGAAGTAATTGAATATATAATTGGTTTGCTGGGACTATTATCTTGAAGCTATAAGGTAAACTGAGGCATTTTCTGCTGCTATAATGTTAATTATTCATGGTTACAGCTAAGGAATGTTGGAACTAAAAACCACCTCAGCAGTTGTGAGGTGCATCTGCTAAAGTTCATGCGCAATGTAAGAGAGAACAATCTGACAGATAAAAAGAGATAAAAGCTTAATTCTGGAATTTCAAAGATGCTATGGAAGGCATTGAGCTGGGTCCTTCCAGCTAGTTCTGCTGCAAAGATAAAACTAAAAGGCACAGGTTTGTTTGAAGAGTGTTTATTTTTTAAAAAAAAAGCAAAGAAAAATACTTGGACATATTAAACCAGTTACATTTCCCATGGGTATAATGGCTTTGAAATTTAACACTGTAGTCTCATTTGGATTATCCTCTGATTATTTTGTAAACTTGGATCTGCTAACATAGATGGAGCCTTAAAACACTGACACTTGCAAGTGACAGCAGTTTCCTGTCTGCCTGTGTTAAGAACTTTGTGTAATCACAGTTCACAGAGAAACGCCGAGAGCTGAGGTTTGATGGTCGCCTGGAGAAGGAGCTCTTGGAAAGCCACGCGTTCCTCATGGTGGATCGGGCTCAGGTGAGGCAACGAGCTCCTGCATGGGCTTTCTTCTTTTTCTATTAAGAGGTTTTGGATTTGGGGGGGTTTTTTTGGGTTTTTTTTGGGTTTTTTTGTTGTTTAGTTTTTATACTGAGTGTTTTTATTGACACGCTTATTAATCATAAAATTACTTTTGCAAAATTCAGCACTGGAAGGTGTAGAAGGATAGGGAAGGGATAGAATATGTCACTGTTTAAACCCTCTATTCTCTGCCATTTAAGGTACTCTATTTACTTGTCTCTGTAAAGTATCTTCTCTGGTTTAGGCTCTGTTTTATACATAAAAGGGTAGATTTTCTGGATGGCACATGGAGTTTTACCGGCGTTATGTTTGGGGTGGTTTTTAATTGAAGAGGAATATTTCATGTTTCTATTGCAGTTGAATTTTGGTGGTTTTGAGGGTTTTTTTGCATCAAGAAGGTAACCTGTAATATTAGAAAATGGACTTGGTCTTGTGTCTCTTCTTTGATCATATACTTTTAATCAAAGTGATGGAAAGGGAGTTTTTGTGTTTTTTCTGCTGTTACAGAGCCAGGATTTCTTAAGCATTCAATCATTTGGCAGGTTTACTTCTAAGTATTAAAAATGTCCTGTATTAAAAGCAAGTAATGTTCCTAAACAGTGTTTAAGGCCTAGGGAGGCTGTTGTTTAAGATGAAGTCTGTGTAACTGCAACTGCTTCATACTCACTGTGGGACTTGCACAGTTATTAACAGTTTTACGAAGCAATTCAGACTCGTCTTGCTTGTGGGTGGTTTTGTATGTCATGGTTGGGTTTTTTTAAAAAATCTCACTCTAAATTCTGTAATTGTCAATTCTCACTGTTTGTTCTGTTCATATCCTGACTTTGCTGATAGGCTTAAAAAAAAGTCTGTTCTCTTTAGATCCAAAGCATATGTGAAAAGGGTCTGCAGGTGGGACACTCTAAAATATCAATTCTTGGCAGCCCTTTCATGGGTAAGTGTCTTTTTGGTTGTATGAGTTGACAGATTGTGTGATGCAGTTGTGTAAACTTTCAGTGCTTTCTCTATCACTTACTGCAGGAACATCACAGGGATATATTTTTAACAGAGTAGATTGACATCAGAACATTATTTCATAACTGTTTTTGACTAGTTCATTTCAATTCCTTTCTCAAAGGGAAGACCTTATTCTCAGTTCAGCTTAAGTCAAGCCGAATTCCCACGTCTTCCCAGTAAAACTGGGAAGCCAAAGAGCTAATGCAGTGTGTGGCTGTGTGCCTCTCTGTGTTTGTACATATGTATGTGCCTTCAGAAATACCTAGTGGGCACAGTAGCTAACCTCTGTATTGATGCAAATAGAACTAAACTTCTTGAATCCACAGATCCAAGAAGATCACAGATAAATTGGAGCCACAAGGTGTTAAGAGTTCCTTTTGCAAAGCTTTTTCAAATGGAAAATAAGGAAATAATTTTGTCATCCTCTGTAAAAGTAACATGGTGTAGAGGTGACAGGAATATTGAAGGCAGGACAGATGTGAGGGGAGAGGAGGACAAAGGTGTATGAGCATATAAGTTTTATATGGTTTAACTGGTAAAGGATCTGGAGGAATTTACCAAAGCAGTTAAATACAGGCTTGGAATGAGAGGAACCTAAGCTAAATAGATGCTATTCTGAGTACCTGAGTTCAGTTACAGTTCTTTGACTAAGGTGGTCAGCCAGACCAGCAAATGCAAGTGTGTGTTTGAGGCCTTGAAAAACTATGCAGTAATTAAGTGTTGAATAACACAAAATTATTTTACCTCTGCACTTAAGTGCCAGTTGTATCTGTATTCTCTGGTATACTTTGAGTTTTAATCCATGCAATGCTTTATAAACCTCTAATAATATTTTAACATTCAGCATAATGTGTTTTGGGTTCTTTTTATACTCCTCTCAGGTGTATATATCTCCAAGTATGCTGATTTATTGCAGCCTAATCCTCTAGAAGTGGGAGCAACTGGAGATGTGATTATTTTTAAAGTAATAAAGGTAAATTTATCTTGCTATTCTTGAAGGATTATATTGCTTACGGATAACACATGGGTGGTTTTAACCTAATTTACTCAATTTTAATTTGCACAATCATCTGCTTATAGAGAAACTAGAACCTTACCAGGTTTAAAATCCAGTGTTGACAGTAAGCTTAAGTAAAGCACAATAAATTTTTATAAAATATGAAAATAATCTACTTCTATAAGTGGCTTTTTAATGGCCTGTTTTGTTTTCCTTGTTCTTACTCTCTTTGGTACTTGAAGTAATTAGCTAATTTTCAGGAAAAAGCTTATGCTTACAATTCTTCCATTATATTACAGGGAAAAATGAAAAGCATATATGACCACATTGGTATGAAAACAATGGAATCAGCAGCAAAGAGTGTGTTAGATCCAACACCAAAGCATGAGTGTCATGTTTCAAAGAATGCAAATAAAGTTACCTCCTTGTTGGCCTATAGAGCCTATGAACTGACTCAGGTAAGGCTGAGCTTGTCTTTACTTCTTAGATAATAACCTCAAAACAGAACTTGGGAACTGAGAGATAAAATTGCTGCACAACAAACACTGAGCATGGCCTGTAGCCCACAGATGCATGTATTAGAAATTACAGAACGTGCCAGCCTCTCCTGTTTTCTCTGTATATACCTGAACCTGATGGAGATGATCTCCATCACATTAGGATGTAGGTGGAATAGGACATAGCTTGGGAATATGCATGAGGACTGGAGTATAGGCTGGGGAGGAGAAGAGGTAATATGTGGAGTTTGAAGTGTAAAAGTGTAACTGGCTTGTGGTCATTAAGTGAGACTCCTGAAAGGGAAAAGATTGGCTGGGAAAGAACAGCTTTTATTTCCCTTACCAGATCCTCAGGTTTGGAAATGGTGAGGGAGGAGAGAATGGAATCAGTTCCAGGCATCTCTGTTCCATCTCTCCTACTGCAGTAATCTATTAACAGTCAGATTATGCCACCAAGCCAGTAGATTTCAGGATCCTTGCTTGAAACCATTCTGTTGAGCATAACTTCTTTTGTCTTTAAATCAGAGCTGGGCACTGAATCAGATGGGTAAATATGAATGTATTCAGTGAATATTTACTTCCCTCAGTGAAATTTGGTTTTGTTTTTGTCAGTTATCCCTTACCACATCAAGAATATACTTTCAAATAAATGTTGCAAAATCATTTTTTCATTCCTGATTAGTTCCTGAAGTAGTGTCCATCTGTCAGGTTTTGATAAAGAGGGGCAAGGTAAAAAAATTACCCTGCTTGATTGTATTATAAAGTACATCTGAGAACAGCATTTAAAAGCTTTGTTAGTTTAGATGTCAGCTTATAGAGAAATTGTCTATTGGTCCAGACTTCTGATTTAATACTGTGCTCACTTTTTCCCCCAGTACTATTTTTATGAATATGGCTTTGATGAGATCAGACGAAGACCAAGACATGTTTGTCCTTATGCTGTTGTTTCATTTACTTATAAAGATGACATGGTGCAAGGACCAAAATTCTTACCCCCACCAAGGTACGTTGGGAAATGAGTTGTGGAAAGGCTGCATGCAGCATGAAGAGTTCATAGCTCTTGGCAATAGCTTAGAATTGTTATAAATAAACAGTGCTGAAATGAATGGTTATGTCACGGGGACTTAACATAATAAACACTTCTAATGCAAAGCAAAAAGTGGCAAAATTAGTTTTATGCAGCAGGCTGGCCCCTGAAGGAAGCAGTTCTGCTGCTTTTTACACCTACTTGCCTTATGCCTAGGTGGAATTCACATGTAGCTGATTTTTTACTTAACTGAAACTACTAAACCACTAATAGTGGTTTAATACTGAACCACTGCAGTGATTCATACTCTGTGTACTCAATACTCAATTATATGTACTCTGTACTCAATACTGTACTACTTAGAGTGGTTTTTTACTTAACTGAGGAAATTCTTGGACATAAAAATTCACTGCATTATCTTGCTTGATGTTCTAAAAAATATTCTATATATTTTGCCACTGAATTCTTCACTGGTGTCTTATTGCTTGTGGAGAGTAGATGTAAATGGGCAGTTGATCACAATGTGATACCTGTGCTCATAGGAAGGCATCCAGGTGTCAACACTGTACTATGAAGTGCTAAAACCAGCTAAATACCTTGATCAGTGCTGAATATCTTGGTAAAGATCTCTAAAATAGCACAAGATGTTGCAGTGGTGATAGCTTGAGGCTCGAGAGTGAATTACCAGTGTTGATACTCTGTTGGACTGATAAAATACCCTAATGTAAAATTTAGTGGCCAGAATTTTCTGTTCCTTCCTAGTCATTCTGTTTGTCTTCTTTTCTTTAGATCAAACAACTTCAACACAGATAGAGACAGAGGTATAGGTAAGAATGAATTGCAGTTTGTTTGGTTTATGATAGGTGGAGGGTTTTGGATGTTTTTCCCCATGTACTTTTATCTTTAAGCAGCTTCGCTATGCTGACTGTGTACCTGAATTTTATCCTGTATCATGCTGACTGCAGGCATCACTCCCTGATACTGGATCATTGAACAGACATCTTAATGTGTGTCTTTTACCAGAACAAAACAGAAGTGAACAAAACCAAGTCTTCTTCCCTTCTTTTCTACTTAGAGTGTAGTAAGAACTGATCTTCAGTTCCTGAATCTCCTGTTCAATGGAGCATCAAATAATATAATCCTCTCTCATGATTGTTTTTTTCAACCTCATTCAAGCAAAATTAATATGTATGTTGACAGTTAAGGTGAGAAAAGAGGATATTATTCCTCAGATGTTGGCATCAAGGGTGTGTTTATATAGACAGGTTTAGATTACATACCAACCTCCTTTACTCTGCTCAGTGCAGGTCAAAACATGATAGGATTGTAAACACCCTTTCTGTTATCTTTTAACTTACTATGTAACATTACTGCCTGGTATTAGTGTGGAATTTTCTCTTAACTGGTTTTGGAGATTCAGCAACCTCTTTGCTGCCATTTCCTTTCAGTTCCACCTAGGAAGTGGTTTCATTTAGTCTTCCTTTCTCTGTCTTAATTTAGAGAAATCCAACTTAACGTTATGGAGGGGGCAGCTTTGGACCAAGGGCAAACTTCTGTGCCACATTTCCATAAAATCAGCAGGACTTCCTTTCCTTCCATGCAAGCTGTGAGTATTGCCATGGAAACAGTAAGTTGGAACTATTGCTGTGTTAGAACTCTTTCTAGTAGAGACTGGTGAATTTGGAATATATTCAGATGAAAATCTAAAATACTGACTAAATGCTCTAAATATGTCAAATGAGACTCAAGTCATGTATGTCCTGAGCTTCCTTGAGTTCAGGCAACAACTGTCAACATCCCTTTTTTGTTTGGTGCTTTGTTGTTTGTGGATTTTTTTTCCCATTGAAATGCACACAGTCCTTTGCAGGAATAAACACCACTGGCTCACAAGATAGCCCATGTATGTCATAGTATCATAATATGTTAAGGTGTTGGAATGGACCTTAGAGGTCATCTAGTCCCATCCCCCTGCCCTGGGCAGGGACACCTCCCACCAGCCCAAGTTGCTCAAGGCTTTATCCAGGCTGGCTTTGAACACTGCCAGGATTGGGGCATCCACAACCTCCCTGGGCAACGTTTGGCAGTGTCTCACCACCCTCACATTTAATACTTCTTATTTGGTCAATGAGGGTAGGACTGTGTGAGCTAAAAAAACAAGAGTTCTTCAATTACTTTTTTTCTCCCTCCCCTCACCCTTCTTTCCCAGTCATGAGAAGCTTGAGTTTGAAAAAGTTGCCAGCATTGATCAGTTGAAGAAAAAAGTTTCACCACTGTTGTTCTTGAAAGAAACTTATCAAAGAGGGAAAGAAGGTAAATAGTTCTAGCTTATTTTTGTAAAAAAAAATTTTCAGAATTTTCAAGTTTTCTGAATTACAATTTTATTTCTTTTTTTTCTTACCTTCTCTTTCTCCCATTGTCTTTTGTCAGAGCTGAAGAATGGCTTGTATGGTAGCCTCTATGAAGTTGTGGAGAAGTCCCGTTCTGGGAATCACATGGACAGTTTGCTTCATAAACTAGAGAAAGATAAACTTGTGAGTGTAACAGATTTGACTATGGGGGTTTTTAAAACTACTTTTAGTAACTAGTAATTTGAGGCATACTGCTAGATCTACAATCTCACTGGAGCTCCTTAGCAGGCATATTCTTAACTATTGTATCAGGGCAGTTCTCTGTCCATGACAGAATTTATCAGTGAGCAAAAATCTTTGTTTGAAGCAGTTTACTCTTTTTGCATGAAAACAGGTTCTTGTGAAACCACTTCTGGACAGAGGATTTCTTTTTCTTCTTTCTCCTTGGCAAATGTTGTCCCCTTATGGTAAGTATACTCAGGGCTTTTGGGTTTGAGTTTTATTTGTTGTTTTGGTTTTTTTTGGGGGGTGAGTTTTTGAGGACTGGATTGTCTCAATATTGGGTCCAGTCTTTTTCAACTTGTTTATCAATGACCTGGATGAAGGGATAGAATGTACTCTCAGCAAGTTTGCTGACAATACAAAACTGGGAGGGAGTGGCTGATGTACCTGAAGGCTGTGCTGCCATGTAACATGTACTTGATAGGCTGAAGAGTTGGCAGAGAGAAACTTAATGAGGTTCAACAAGGGTGAGTGTGGAGTTCTGCACTTGGGGAGTGATAACCCCAAGTACCAGTAGGGTTTGGGGACTGCCCTACTAGAGCGTAGCTCTGCAGAGAAGACGTAGAAGTTTTGGTGGATGACAAGTTGACTGACCTGTAGTGTGCCCTTGTGGCCAGGAGGGCCAATGGTATCCTGGGGTGCATTGGGAAGAGTGTGGCTAGCAATTCAAGGAAGGTGAGCCTCCCCTTCTACTTGGCCCTCGTGAGGCCACATCTGGAGTACTGTGTCCAATTCTGAGCTCCTCAGTACAAGAGACACAAGGAACTACTAGAGAGGTTCAGAAGAGCCACAAAGATGATGAGGGGTCTGGAGCACCTCTCTTTTGAGGGCCTGTTTAGTCTAGTGAAGATTGAGAGGGATCTCATCAATACATACAAATATCTCTAAAGTTAGTGTCAAGAGGATGGTGTCAGACTCTTTTCGGTCGTGCCCAATGAGAGGACGAGGAGCAGGGGCCATAAACTAAACCAGAGGAAGTTCCACCTTAACATGAGGAACAACTTCTTTACACTGAGGGTGGCAGAGCACTGGAGCAGGTACCTAGTGAGGTCATGGAGTCTCCCTCTCTGGAGACATAAAAACCCACCTGGATGAGTTCCTGTGTCACATGTTGTATGTGACCCTGCCATGGCAGACAGGTGGGACTAGATCTCCAGAGGTCCCTTCCAACACTAGCGATTCTGTGGTTCTGTCTTTTGAAGCACAATGCTCCTCTCCTTAACTGTTTGTGTGTTTTTGTGTTGTAGACCACCAGACTGGACGGCCCCGCGTTCTTCATGCACTCTTTCTGTTTCCCGAATCCAGAATTATAATTAACTCAGGTAAGTTTGTTCACTCTTGAGAGAGCTGTGTGCATGTTTAAACATAGATTATATTCTTTTGAAGACTTTGTAGTGTTATAGCCAGTAAATGTAAACTAGGAATAACAGTTTACATTGGTTATGGTCATAGTGATGGTGTTCAAAAATACTTCTTCACAAAATTTTATGTTATTTTGTTCATATTTGCGAAAGTAAAACTGCTCAAATTTCTTGATCGTATATTCTCTTAGAACTGAGCACCAGGATTCTAAGAGATCTGTGCATTAGGAATAAGTAACACAATGAGGGCTTTCTTTAATCATCAAAACATTAAGGACAGAACATCTGAAAGTCTTTAATGTACCTGTAATCTATTTGTATTTCTTTGCATTTGGATATGCATCAAAAACAGAGTAAAGGAGCAGAGAACATGATGATGATGAGTAGTAAAGATGAGTGAAAGAACTTGACATGAGTAGAACTGAGGATGAGGCTTTGCGATAAGACTTTAAAGGTACAATTTACAACTGAAATTTGTAATAAGCAGTAGTATAGTAGCATGCCAGGCCTTGTTGGCCTGCTCTGAGTTAGAGGTGATATTGTCAAAATGTAACTCTTTGCAAGCATTTCACTTGTACAAAGAAGTTCTTGTTCAAGTCTTGGCATCTTCTCTCTATATTTCTGTTTTTTAAAAAAACCTATATTTAAGTAGCAATTCAGAAAATTCCATCAGTTATAGATTAGGTAAGAGGAGATATGATCTAAGATGGCATTTAAAGTGTGTGTATGCTAGTTCTTTATAAGTCCTTTGTTCTTGCTGCAGTTCCTGTGAAACACAAGGTTAATCACTGGTTCTTCAGGCTGCTTAAATGGTTGAATGAAGAAAAGTTTCAGTTTGTGATTGGAAGAAGGGTGAAGAGTGTGACTAAGTAAATAAAAATGAAATAACAATATAAATTAGAGCTTCCTTGAGCTGTTTCAAGGATGTGGTAAAAGGATCTAATTGCTTCCTAGGACAGGAAGTCTTGCTTTTGATGCATGCTCCTATTGCATCTCTTCTATTTAGTGAGTTGTATTGCTTTGCAATGGAATGGAAGACCTTTAGGTTTCTGTTGGGTTCCTAGGTGGAATAATTTTCTAAGGGTCTAGTGAGCTTAGCAGCAGCACAAGGAACACATCAGGACTGCACAGGTAGGGGGAACACTTCCCTGTGTCTTGCAGGAGCTTAGGCTGCTGCTTAGTCAACCTTAGTGTGGCTTTGATGCCTCTGCTGGAGGGTCAGTAAAGTGGTTTATATTGGAAGTGATGAGTATCTGAGATACAGGTTACCACCAAATTCTGAAAATGAGCAGTTTGTCGTGGCTATGAGTAGGTTGACTTTGAAGTTAGACTTTAAAGCTGATTACTTCACACAAAAAATACTTCCCTGGCTTCGGAATTATTTCTCCAGAGTCGTTCCAAACTGTGTTTCAGGAAATATGTATTCATGCAGAATATTGCTAATGAGTCATCATTTATTTATAGCTCATGATTTAATTTTAATTGTGAATTCCCTTTTCTCCTGCAGCAGCACAAAAAAGTATTCCACTTGGAACACAGAAAAATTCAACTTTGCCTGAAAATAAGGAAATTGTTCCAGACTTCCCGAAGTTTATTCAGGCTCTACATTTTGCTTTAGTCCAGTCTCGTAGGGACACTAGTGCAGATTGCAATTGTGTTGTGGAAAAGTACATAAATGAGTATTTGAAAAGATACTATAGTGGCACTGGAAGAAGAGAGTTTATCTTATATCCATATACATCACGGTTGGATGACAAAACATTTCTTTATCCTGCACCAAGATATAAATCCCATATTGACAGCTACTTGCAAAGCTATATTTTCCATTGTGAGGCCTATCAGCTGCCTGTTTCCAGAGCTAAGGCATTGGTGGAGGAAAATCGGAAACACCAACACTTCAGTCCCATCTCAGACTATGAACCCACAGAAGATTACGCGGATTTTGACAAGGCAAAATACGGAAAAAGAATCCGAGTGAACTGTGAAGCTTCTGCTGTCATGCAGAAACTGCCTCCACTTGGAGATTATGATCCTGATAGAATCAAAGAACTTATTAACTTAATCCAGTGCAGGAAAAAAAACGCAGGTGGAGGTGCTGATTCTGAAGACCCAAGAATTAGAAGTGGTCTGAAAAGAAAGCTGGAAAGAGAGTCTGAAACTTTGCGGAAGTACTTAAAAATGAATGAAGCTTCAGAGAATATTTGTCAGTATGAAGGTAGGAAAGTCTTCGTTTAGATTTCTTTAAACATTGTAATTCAAAGCATATTTAACATTTGATCTATAGATGGAATATTTTTTGCATGCTGTGGATATTTAATGCATGGTATCTAAACATTGGCCCGAGATCTGTCAACAGAGATGAAGTTTATTTTTATGTAGGCTGCTTCTTCCTGCGAGACCAGTTAACAGGAATTGTCATGGAAGTTACTTTTGTTCTGCCTCTTTGGAAAGAAGGTGTAATTCCAAAGAGTTTGCTAAGGTGTGGAACTGTCCAAAGACTTTCTAATATGAAGTACTTAACAGACTTGGTACATAATGTCTTTTGCAGAGTTAGACTTCAGGAATTGCTGTAATTCTTTATGGCTCCAATACCTTATGCCATACCCAAGAAATTTACATTGAAGGGAATAATTAAACCTCTAAGCATGAGTATAACTTAAGTTTTGAAATCACCAGTGATATGTGTAGTGGGACAAAGGAAGCAACCTAATAGTATTTAAGATTGAATTATTCTATGTGTGAAATTACCTATATCCAAACCTCAGATAATTATTACAGATACTGTCTGACTTAAGATCTGCTGGAAAAAATTCCTGCGATTTCTGTTTCCCTGACCCTTTTCTCAAGGGGCAGAAGGGGCAAAACTGGGGAGCAGGGTGGCACAGAAAAGAGGGGGTTTACATCAAGCACCAGTCACTCTCTGTGTGAATCACTTCGGAAGATGAAGTGGCTGGTCATAGAAATAAGTTGCCCTCTTGGGAGGGACAAAAGGTAGTAGCATGTGGGGATGGAGGAGACAAAGGTTGGGCTTTATGTTTGGGATTCCTGCTTGGAAGTCTGTGAACCTTAAGTGTCTCTTTACATTGTTTATTAATGTAAAATATGTGAATGCATTATCTGCCTGGCTATAATCACAACAGTGTCTGTTTGTAAGTAAATTTTGCCTTACCTTTCTCAGAGGTACCAAATCAACAACATCTGTCTGTGGTTTGAATTCCATGTTTTTATACAACCCTAGAAGTAATTTGTTTGTCTTGCAAAAAATTTTACCTGAAATATTGTGAACTTAAGTAGCTAAACATGATTAGACTTTTAGGAGTCAAATGGCACTTTAACAATTCCGTATTTCCACATAGGATAAATAAGTTAGAGATTCATCAGATACATGAAGAGTTCTGTAGACTGTCTTGTCCTGAGAAGAATAAATAGCTATGGTATTTACTCATTCAAGGGGATGAGTAGAAGAATAATAACCCTGTTCTAAAGTTATGTTTAGTAGAAATAGATGTGGTAAAGTTTTAGAATTACACTTAGTGTAACATAACCTAAGAGGTTAAGCATTAAGATACTTACCAGCTTCTGCAGAAACAGTGATAGGATGACGAGAAGTAAATGTTGTGCTCAAACAAATTTTTTCTTTCAAAATGTGATGTGAATTTTATAAGGTTTCCATAAAATACCTAGATCACAGAATATGAGTTCTATGAAAACATAAAATAGTGTGCTATTGAGTGACTTAAAAAAGGTAATTATTTCTCTGGAAGACAATACTGGCTTTAGAAACCTTTTGTCAATATTGACCTGTCCAGACATTTTTGTTAAAATAAATATATGTGTACAGTATGAATTAATGCTAAAAAGTGAGACTGTGGGCATGTGGCAGGTGTTTTGGGGGGTTGTCTGGTTTCATTTTGATTTTAATAACAGATGACTTTTCCCCTTCTTCCCCTGTTCTAAGGAGGCAGAACCTCAGATTCGCCACACTCTGTTTTCTCAGTTAATACTGGTCTCAGTGGACACGATGCTGACTTCAGGCAGCAAGAAGGACTCGACCCTGCTGCTGCTGCTGCTGCTGCTGCTGCTGACACACATGGCCTCGTGAAACTGCTTTTAGAAACACTAGCTACTGCAGGACACTTGGATTCATCATTGGTACAGTCTGTAAATCAAGCTTTAGGATTAAGCACTGATGAAATTGAAGAGGATACGAGACAAAAGTCTGAATATGAATCCATTCCAGCTCAGGACAAAGATGATCATGACCTTCCTAATGCTGCTCAGGCTGAAAATGTTAACTTTAAGGACCTGCAGAGCCCAGCACTCCTGAAGCCTGCCGTGCCGTGCTCACTCTGCCCTGGTGATGCTGACCTGCAGCTTCCAGCTAACGAAGTAGGCCTTGAACACACACCACATTTACAAGTGAGTGAAAATGCCAAGATGCTGGTAATGAATGCACTATTTTCATGAATTGTATGAGACTGAATGGAAAAACCATTCTATTTTTTTATATAGGTAAACATAGATAAGCTAACTAAACTGTGAAGAAGCTTTTTTGTTTTGTAGGAACATATATGGAAATTTTCTTAACTTTTAAGCATGGTTCTTGTCATGTGAACCTCATGTGTTACTCTTTCTGTAATGAAGTAGGAGCAGAGTTAGGAGGATTGTGAGCAGTTCACCACATGCCCAGCTAGTTCTCTCTGTCTCTCCTCTTGGTGCATTGGGATATACAAGTTCCACACAGACTTCTGACAGCATTCATCTGGCAGAACAGTCTTTGCAGAAGGTCTTTGTGCCTGGGGACCAGAGTGCCCCAGCTACTTACTCCATCTCATTACCCTACAAGAGTGGTGCTTGTGTGATCTCTGTTCCTGCTACTTATGCACAAAGCTCAGCTTCTAAGTCACAGAGTAGGAACGAGTTCATCCTACCTGTAATATCCATGCTGTTTTGCTTCTAAGCATCTGGAATGTGAGATGTATTAGGGCCCAAAACACTCCCATTTCTAGTTGCAGGCAGTGCCTCAGTAATGCCAGCATCTCATGGCTTTAGTCAGGTATCAATACAACAGCCTGAAAAGGGCTAAGGAGCAGCCAGTTTGCCCCTGCTTTCCTCCCTGCCCCACCAAGCTGCTGTAAGGCATGTGCTCAGAACTGCCTTAGTTAGTGATAGACCAGGAGCCAACACATCTGTCTCAGGTAAATACGTAAGTACCTCATGTAAACATTTCCAAGTTTGACTTGACTTGATTGATGACAGAAGATGCATTCTTACTGTCAGGTGTTCAGAATGTAAAAGCTTAATAGCTAGCAAACCCAAAAGTTGTTTTGAGCTGAGCATTTTTGTTGTGTTGCAGGAAGCAAGTGCTGAAAGCGTAAGTACTTTTGAAGACTACAGTCCCTGTCCTAGTGCACCTATAGAACATGTTTATCACAGGCAACATCCCAACTCAAATAATATAGAGGTTGGAATGCACTGGAAACTTATTCCAATTACAGGTAAGATGAGTTTAACTCCTTTATTGCTACAAATAGTGAATGAAAACATGTCCTAAAGGTTTGTATCTTTCATAGATCCTGTTCTTGGGTCACATGTTGTGCACAAACACATCTAGCCAGTTGTTTCTGATGTTTGATTAATACAGAAATCTGCTGGATGAAAACAGATCCTGGTGGAGAGTACTGGTTTGGCTACATCCTGACATAATTTAGAAATATGAATCCGATAAAACTATAGTTTTGAATGTGGATGGTGAAGTGCTGCAGAAAGTATCTGAGGTTTGGGCTGTGAGAGGCTTTCAGCACTCCTTGCAGCATCACTGAAGCTGTGTCTATAATCACCATAGGACTGTTGTCCTCCCTTTTTATGCAAAAAAAATACTTGTGTTCACAGCTGGGACATGCAGTTTGCAATCCAACTCTGCAAGGCCCTGCGTGGCTAAAATATGCCCTTTGACAGTGAGGATTATAACCTGGTAGCAAGTGAAAATATTTGAATAATTTGTCAGCCTGCTTGATTTCTAATTTGCTTTTTAATTTGTAATCAAGGCGGCTCCTGTTGTGCTTAATCAGATGTTATCTCTGGGAAAACTACTTGTATTGTGCTTTTCCAGCAAACTTTGACTGTATTGTTCCACTGTCTCAGGCACTGTTAAATGTGCTGAGCTTCTGTGCCTCAGCAGACTGTAACACTTGAGGCTTTGGATTTAAGTTTGATTGGTGGGGGAGGCACAACAGCAATGCCGTTTTCAAACTGTGTTTTGGTGGTTTTAGTGTATCGGTTGTGTGTGACTTTCAAGTGTGAGATGATGATGATGAACTCTTCCTATATAGGTCTGAAATCACCAGAAGAGCCATTGGTGTATTTGCCACCAAAGGATGCCCTTCCTAATGACCCTCGGATAATAAATAGACAGAGAAGTTTTGATTACCAGTTTCCATACTCTCCATTTTCAGACACACAAAAGGGGACAGCAGAAGATGGACTTCATACAGGACAAGTGGAGAAACTTGAAGATCAGTATGGGCTAGCAGATCACCCTTTTACAGCTAAGCATTCCATTAGTTCAGTAATAGAGGCAACACTGTTAGAAGAATATAAACTCTTTGCAAGAAAGATTGAAGAAATTTTGCAGCAGGAGAACGTTGCTTATGTCAGTAGCATGTCCACACCAGTCCTCTCTGCCCAGGAGAGCATCGGGAGACTTTCTGAGTACATATGTTTACAGACAACAGATATTTCTGTCCAAGAATATATAGAGAAGCTGAGTGAAAAGTTGAGTAGTGTCATATTGGCATCTTCATGCATTAAGCAGCCTCCAGCTATGTACTCTAGTCCTGAACTATCAGAAGTGGTTAGCAGTGCTGCACCGAATGCTCTGCACGACCCATCACCTGTGCCCAGAGACGCCGGCGCGGCGCTGGCAGAGCCCCCGTGCAATAACCTGGCCGAGGAGGTGTGTTTGAAGGAGCAGCCTGCAGCCAGCTTACCTGCCCTGAAGGAAAGGGATCCTGGGAATGCTAAACCAGAGCATTTGTTGACATCTGATCAGACCTCTTCCAGTGGTGATCTGATGGAGCCACCAGAAAAGACTCAGAAATCCCCAGAGAACTTAAACGTTTCAACTCAGCCAGCTTTTTCTGATTTTATAAGCCAGTTAAAACCTGAAGTATTTAACAGTTTGGTCAAAATTATTAAAGATGTACAGAAAAACACTCTGAAATTTTATATTCATGTACAGGAAGAAAGTATTCTCTGCAGAGAAATCAAGGTAAATGTTTCAGTTCAACCTCTGTGTGTCAGAACAGAGTGCCTTTCAAATCCAAATGTATGAAACTGGGCTTACAAACATAAGGTAGTTAGACATTTATTTCAAAAAAGGTTGAGTTGTGAAAGTAGGCTGTGCTGTCCCAGTTGTTACTTGAGCTTCTGAAGGAGTCTTGCTTATATTTAGCTTTTACGTAAGTCTTATTCTTCTAGTTGGAAAGCAGAACAGGCTGCAGGTTGGTTCTCTCTGAAGATCCTGCCAGGGGGTGGCCTTACAGAAAAAAGATAATAAGGGCAAAAATGGGATAGCTTAACATTTTAGAAAGAATGTAGGAAAAGTCACTGTGTGTGCCTTTGGGTTTTTTTCCCTTCCCCTCTAGTTAACAGTACAGGTAACTCTGGGAGATCACTGTTCTTCTGTGGTTAAATGTGTAAGGGCAAAGTGAAGTAATAAAAGCTTCTGGCTTTACTTGAAAACTCAGGCAGTGTGAGAGGCTTTGTTGGCCACAGATGTAAGAATGACTTGCTGAAACAGCCTGTGTGTTGCTACATCCTTCTGATTTTTGCA